GTTCTCTCATATTTGGACTTTTAAATGAAAGCTTTGTGGTATCTATAATGAAGTCGCCAATTGCACCAAATGTGGAGTCTACATGCCTCAGAGAACTTCCACCCCATCGAACATCATGCGCAACATATACACCAGGATCAAACGGACATTGTAACCATTTAATCTTGTGCATCAATCTGATTCCAGCCATAATTAAGATGTCACCCCCATATTCAATGCACCTAGTTGAGCCAAGATCAAAAGAATATGCATATATATACCTGCCCGACATATCATCAAACCTCTTTAGTGCAATGGTCTCGTTTTTGCATTCTGATCGCTTATCACATTGTTGTACGAAAGGTGAGGTGGAAATTTGATTGAACTCGATGCGCATCTCTCGTTCAGAAATTTTAGCACGCACCTGGTTCAAATTTGTTGAGGCTTCATCTTCTGAATCATATTCGATATTAGGAGTACAGCTGGAGCTTTCATCAAACACCCGAGCGACATTAGAAATCAGTATCTCTAATTTACCCACATCAAAATCAGTTGCTATCGCAGGGGCCATGATTTGCGAATTCGACTGCACATCATTGATGACCTTGGAGTAGCAGCTATGGGACATTTCATTGAACATATGGGTAGTGATTATCGTCCAAATCAGACTCTAATTTTCCGGACGTGCGGGTGGTTTGTTGAGCAGCAAATACCATGGAGAGGCAGTGAGGCATGTCATCAAACATCTTGGCGACGTCTCGTGGGTGACCATAATCTGAACCTGGATCAAATGGAAAATGAAATAGCATGGTTCTAGCCAACATATTATTACAAGTTTCAAGGAAATCAACAAATAACACTACATTTCCAAGCGGTCTAAGACGAGTGCAACGCTTGGGGTCTCGTAGGTAGTGGACAATTCCCTTCAGTTCATCTTGTACCTCATTAACACCCCTGATGTCATAGGAATGGAGAGTGATTCTCTCAAGCTGGAGAGCATAATCACCATTGAATCGGCTGGTGGAATCAATTCCATTCTCATTATAAACAACTTCCCACAACTTGGATCAGTAGCTTCTGTTGGACATTATGTCGAACACTTGGTGTCCAGGACTTGCAGAGTACCCCAGAAGCCAATCTGCTACGGGATTTTCTAACATCTCAGGAGATACCTTGGAATTATCCAGCAAGCCTGAGTTTTCAGCGATCAAATCAGAATCACTGTCGCCGACACCGACTATCCCAGCACCGTCCCTTGTATCTTCCACAGAGACCTCCTCTATTTTTGCATCGTCCAAAGCCGTGGAGTCCAATTGCAGTTCTTCCTGCACCAGTGATTGTATACGGCGAATGGAAGAGATCATACGAGAATTACTTTCTTGCAACACTGTCACCAATTCTTGCAGCGCCTTCACCGATTCGAAGAGGTTGTTGAACTGAGCATTGGGCATGGTAGAAGGGTAGAGAGGCATGGAGTAAGAACAACGAGAGCACATATTTACTAAATGTAACGATAATCCGATATTAAACCAAACTGAGCAATTACAACGGATTCATGGAACAAAAAAATAGAAAATAAGAAAAGGGAAGTTCCGGATTGCTATTACAAAATAGCTAATGAAAAGAAAAGATCAAATTCTAGCTTGGCCTCACAAGTCACAACTACACTCTCCTGTTATTTATATTTTCTTTATGTTCTTCGGCACTCTAATATTTTAATAGATTTTCTCAACCCGAATCTCACATCACATTTTGGTATTTCCTCATTTTAACAACAGATCCAAATACCAGCCCAATAGTATAATTGATAAAGGACATGTTCATAACACTTTACTTACTTAATTTATGGGATAGACCTCAAATTTTTCTCGGACAAAGACAATGCAGCAAAGACTGGGATGAGGTTGAGGTTTAATTTACAGATAATATCGGATAAAGAGAGAGCAATGTGAAGCCGCCGGTAATGGCGAACTACGTCGAAGGGGGGCGGTTAAGGTTTTTGATCAGGAAAGAGAACCTGGTCGGTAAGAAGATGGGGAGATTTCAGCTAAAAAATCGCGTAACTGAAATGCGACTTATACATCACATAAAATAATGCGACTTGTGTATTCATTAAAAATAAATTCTCTGACATGAAAAATAAAACAAATCATTTGATACAACAAGTTAAAATAAACTTAAATACAAAAATTGTTTTTATATATAATTAAAATTCATGTAGTAAATGTTAGTTGGATCTTTTAACACTGTCCATTGCTGATTACACATGTCTATCAGTGTTTAAATCACAATTAACATATGCATTTGAATATTTTTTGACACACCCAAAAACTACACACTAGTAAAAAAAACATTAGCTAAAAAGTACATATTTTGGAAAAATTTCTGATTATCTTTTGTCTTTTTTTTTTTTACTAGAGATATTTTTTTGTTTCTTTCTTTTTATATTTTTCATATTAACCAAAGGCGCAAAATACTAGTGTTTCGAAGTAGATATTTTATTTACTCGTAACTATCAAGCTTTAGTTGCATTTACTAGTTCTATCGATTAGGTTAGGATTAGATAATAAGTAGGGTCAGTTTTGGTGCGAGGTTATTAAGTAAAAATAATTTTAAATCAGTTTCTGGTTACTTATTTAGACAAAATCTGTCGAATCTGATAGTGATGGAAGGCTAGGACAGGTGAAAATTATTTTTCCCCTCCTATCGGAAGCAACATCAATGTTGTCTTTTACAATTCGCACCTATACTGTTCATATAAGAAAAAAGTAAATAATCAAAGTTTTTATTTATTTTAAAATCCTAAAAATTACTAGGAAAATAATTAAATATCAGTTTATCTAATACTCTCTTTGTTCCAGTTTATGTGAACCTATTTCTTTTTTGGTTCGTTCCAAAAAGAATGACCGCTTTCTAAATTTGAAAACAATTTAGCTTAAACTTTCAATTTTATCCTTAATGAGAAGCTTTTCTAACCACACAAATACTCTGGACTTCTTTTTGACTTGTTTAGGACCATAAATTCCAAAAGTCTTTATTTTTTCTTAAATTTCGTGCCCAGTCAAACAAGTTCACATAAATTGAAACGAATGGAGTATAAAATATATTTTTAGAGATTAAAAAAGTCGATCAATATGTACCTTTCTGCTTTTATAATAGCATAAATAAATTATCTAAATCTAACGGTCAAAGCCCAAAATCTAACTCCGCCAGCGCCTCACCTTCCTCGTCGTCGTCGTCATCGTCGTCGAGTCGTCATCGTACACAGGTAAGTCCTCTTGCTCCTTATCTTTCTTTCCTTCTTCCTTCCTTTTCGTCCATTTTCTTTCTTTCTCTACCCGTCTCCTCTCCCCCCCCCCCCATTTTCTAGTAGCGATCGACGTCGTCGGGCCTCCGGCCAGGCGTCATCTACCCCAATCGATCCTTTTCTTCCGCTCTTTCTTCTCTTACGCCACTTCCAGTGCCTCATTCTTTACTTTTTCCTTTCTTTTAGTTTCTCTTTCATTCTCGATCTCTCCCTCCCCCCCCCCCCCTTTCCTTCTTCTTTTTTCTCTTTTTTCTCTTCTGCGAGCGTGAGTTAAGCAGCAACCCGGCAGTCTCTCTGATATGTACTTCCGGCGATTTTATTGGCTATGGCAACACATGTCTTCACCCCATTCGCCAGTTTCTTGGCATCTTCGGCACTAATCCAGGATCTATTGTTCTTGCCTTTGGTAATTCATATTTGTTTTTGCTAGTTTTGCCTGCTATTCCATTATTTTGCCTTAGACTTTTGTTTCCAATTTGACTTGCCATTCTTTAGTTGTGGTTGTTTACATTTGGACTTGCTTTAATTTCCTTTTATGTAACTAGGGTCTTATATAGTAGACTTTATTTCTTGTGTAGTTTATCTTGCCGGGGGTTGTAGTGGTGCTAGCATAGTGTCCGTTAGTTTAGAGTGGCAGGTGTGAGTGATAGCAGAATGAGGTCACATCCTCGGGCGGGGGGCAAGTATAGTAAGAGGGGTAAGGGCTCCGCTAGGCTGCATGTTGGGTCCTGGAATATACAGACATTGACAGGGAAGTCTATAGAACTAGGGAAGATTCTCCAGAAGATGATGATCAATATAGCGTGTGTCCAAGAGATTAGATGGGTGGGTACTGTTAACGGGTATAAACTGTGATACTTAGGGGGTGTTGGGGGTACTAGGGGCAAGAACGGGGTAGGTATCTTAGTAGACAGGGATCTCAAGGAGCTGGTGGTTAATGTTAAGAGGATAAACGATAGATTGATGGCTATTAAGCTAATGGTTGGTGGGCTCACTTTAAGCGTGGTTAGTGCATACGCACTGCAATCGGGATTGGGAGAGGAGGTCAAGAGGCAATTATGAGAGGATTTAGATGAGGCGGTGCATGGTATTCCGCAATCCGACAAAATTTTCATAGGAGGTGATTTTAATGGTCATATTGGGGAGACGACTAGGGGTTATGATGATGTGCATGGCGGGTTCGTTTTTGGGGTTAGGAATGAATGTGGTACTTTGTTGCTAGAGTTTGCTAGAGCCTTTGATTTGGCACTAGCTAACTCGTGTTTTCAGAAGAAGGAGGACCATTTGGTCACGTTCCGGAGCGCGGTGGCCAAGGCTGAAATTGATTACTTACTCTGCAAGAAGAGGGATAGAGGCTTATATATTGATTGCAATGTTATTCCGAGTGAGTGGCTTTCGACCCAACATAGGCTCTTGGTTATTGGACATGGAGATTAAGAGGGAGAAGAAGAAGAGAGTGGTGTTTGGTCAACCTAAGATCAAGTGGGAACCTTGAATGAGGACAAAGCTCAGGAATTAGGGAGAAGTTGTTAGATATGGAGGCTTGGAGGAGTTGTAAGAACGCGAGTAGTATGTGGACCTCAACAGCGAACTACATTAGGGAAGTGCTAGAGCAATGTTAGGGCTCACGAAGGGTTTCTCCAGGGGCCACAAAGGTGACTGGTGGTAGAATGGAGAGGTCCAAGGTAAAGTAGAAGCCAATAAAGTGGTGTATATGAAGCTAGTGGAGAATGCCGACGAGGAAGAGAGAAGGACGTTTAGGGAGTGTTATAAGAAGGCTAAGAAAGAGGCAAAGTTAGCGGTCACGGCGGCTAAGACCGCAGCATTTGAATGCCTGTATGTGGAACTTGGGGGCAGAGGCAGTGACAAGAGAATGTTCAGGTTAGCCAAGGGTTGAGAAAGGAAGGCTCGGGACCTGGACCAAGTGAGGTGCATCAAAGACGAGGATAGCAAGGTATTGGTGGAAGAGGCATGTATTAGGCGTAAGTGGCAGTCATACTTCCACAAACTCTTGAACAAGAATGGGAACAAGAACTTTATGGTTGGCGAGTTGGAGAACTCAGAGAACCAACGTGATTTTAGGTTTTGTAGGCGTATTGAGGTTGAGTAGGTAATGCGGAAGATGAGTAGAGGCAGGGCGACTGGGCCAGACGAGATCCCGGTAGAATAATGGAAGGTTGTGGGATGGGTAGGCTTGGAGTGACTTACTGGATTGTTTAATGTTATTTTTAGGACTAAGAGATGCCCGAAGAATGGAGGTGGAGTTTGATGGTCCCGTTGTACAAGAACAAGGGTGATATTAAAAATTCTAACAACTACATGGGTATTAAGCTACTAAGTCACACTATGAAAGTGTGGGAGAGAGTGGTGGAGAGGAGGGTGGTGGAGAGGAATGCGTCTATTTCAGAGAATCGGTTCGGTTTCATGCCGGGACGTTCGACCACAGAAGTCATTCATCTTGTGAGGAGGTTGGTGGAGAAGTATCGGTAGAGGAAGAAGGACCTGCATATGGTGTTCATCGATTTTGAAAAAGCTTACGATAAAGTCCCAAGGGAGGTTCTATGGATATGTCTGGAGGTTAGTGGTGTTCTGGCAGCATACATTGTGGTGATTAAGGATATATAAGATGGAGCGAAGACTTGGGTGAGGACTGTGGGAGGAGACGCAGACTATTTTCCTGTGATGATGGGGTTATATCAGGGTTAAGCTCTTAACCCATTTTTATTTGCCGTGGCGATGGACATGCTGACGCGCCACATTCAGGGGTGGTGCCATGGTGTATGTTATTTGCACATGATATAGTACTAATCGATAAGACGTGTTGCAGGGTTAACGATCGGCTGGAGCTATGGAGGTAGACTCTCGAGTTTAAAGGTTTCAAGTTGAGTAGGACAAAAACTAAATACTTGGAGTGCAAGTTAAGTGTGGGAACGTGGGAAACAGAAGTGAAGGTGTAGCTTAATATACAAGTCATCCCTAAGAGAGATAGTTTCAAATATCTTGTATATGTTATTCAGGGGAACGGGGAGATTGATGGGGATGTTGCATCGTGTTGGAGCGAGGTGGTTGAAATAGAGGCTTGCATCTGGTGTTTTATGTGATAGGAATGTGCCTCCAAGACTTAAGGGCAAGTTCTACTAAGTGATAGTGAGGTCAACTATATTGTATGAAGCCGAGTGCTGGCCAATCAAGAAATCTCATGTCCAGAAGATGAAAATGGCAGAGATGAGGATGTTAAGATGGATGTGTGGGCATACCAGAAAAGACCGGATTAGGAATGAAGTTATTAAGGACAAGGTGAGTGTGGCCCATGTGGAAGATAAGTTGCGAGAATCGAGGCTGAGATTGTTCGAGTATGTGAAGAGGAGAAACATCAATGGCCCGGTGAGGAGATGCGAGAGGTTCACCATTGCGGGTCAGAGAAGAGGTAGAGTGATGCCTAGGAAGTATTGGGGAGAGGTGATTAGGCAGGACATGACACTACTTCAGCTGACCGAACACATGACCCTCTATAGGGAGGTGTGAAAGTCGAAGATTAGGGTTGTGAGTTGACAGATAGTCGAGTCTCTTCTAGTAGTACTAAAACTACTAGTAGTAGTACTAGTATTGTATTCTCTTATTCCGAGTTTCTTGTTGTTAGACGGTGTGACATTATTGTCGGTTGTTTTCGCACTTCTCTTATAGCTTTATATTCCTAGTTCACTTGCTATTACAGGTTGTGCTATTTGTTTCTGTTAACTTATTTCCTTACCATTGTTAATATTTGTTTATTGTATCTTTTTTACTGTTCTTGAGCCGAGGGTCTATCGAAAACAACCTCTCTTCCCTTATAAGGTAGAGGTAAGGTCTACGTACACATTACCCTCTCCAGACCACACGTGTGGATTGCACTGAGTTTTTTTTTTTTTTTTTTTTTTTTTTTTTTTTTTTTTTTTTGTCAATTTAATACATACAAGGAACACTTATCAAGGTGTGAAAACATGTGACGTGATTCCGAAAGGAGAATTACATAACGCATGACAAGTACTAAGTAATAGAATAAGTGAACGAGCTTTCATGTCCATTTACCGTGTTGAAATTAAAAATATATATTTTTATCTCTTATGTATAAAAGTAAATCTCTCATGTATAAAAAAATTACAATGTTGAAATTAAAAATATATATTTTTAAATCTCGTGTCCACTTTAATTAATTTTTGATTTATTTTTGTAATTCATAATATTTAATTTCAAAAAAATATATATATAAAAAGATAAAGATAGGATCTATTAGTCTATCTGCATTAAGCAAAACTTTTAAATGATTCCTTCAAGTTTTACAAGTCCATCCTATCAGCCTAATGATTAAGCTTTTTTGTTAAAACTGTAGTTAGTGAATAAGCTTTGTCAAACCATTTAACCATTAAACGAATGTGACTTCCAAAAATTTTGTCTCAAAGATTTGAAATAATATTTGAAGATTATTTCAAATAAGTATTCGTTTATTAAAATTGGCATATTATTTTAACTTCAAACTTGAAAGTATTTGTTTTCATGACCACATACACCTCCCAAGTATCTTTTTACAACTTCAAATTCAAATATTACTTTTTTCAAATCCCAACCAAGTCATGCCCATTCAACAACTTTACCAAGCCAAACAATTTTGAAAGTCTACACATAGGGTAAACAATAACAAGCTTATTAAAAATAAGCTCTCGTATCTACTTTAATTAATTTTTTAAATTTTTTTATAATTCATAATATTTAATTTTTTCAAATATTAAGAAGTTAACTTCTATTTTTCAAAGTTGTCTTGGAGTATTTGTTATATTTTTAATAAACAAATTAATGTAAATATAGTCAATTTTATTATTAATTAATGTAAAAAAGTAAATTCTTTAATATATGTCAAATCAATCAAAAATTCAATTAAAGTGTATCGGAAAAAATACAATTTTGAGAGATGGGGAAAAGATTGGTGAAATTAACGTCTTTAGGACGCAGAGCAACAAGCCCACCAATCAAGTCTTCTGTAAAACAATATTAAGACCATTAGAACAAGAAGAATTTGGATCAAATCATTGCTATTTTAACAGTCTAAAAAGTAAATAAAATAAGGAATGACTCTAAGTTTGACAGCAAAAGAGTTTCCCTCGATGAACGTTGAATACAGAAGTGACATTAAGTGGCATTCTTTTTTGCTACTGAATATATTACTGGCTCAAATATGGACGTATTAGTCAATAATTTGATCATTATTTTAGGACCAAAGGAAGCAAAATAGACATAGAACAGTCTAACTTCGGAGCACTGAAAGTTCAAAAGCAGAAATGGACTTAGAAAGCTTATTGTAAATCGCAGATAGACATGGAGGATGTAAGGGCAATACAGGCAGCATAGACATGAGATTATTCCTAGCTGCAAAGCGGAGCCCTTTAATTCAGTATATGCACTTTCAATATATTAGGCGTCTGGGCATATGTTTCTGCTGCCACAGATCCTATTTCCAGGTGCAGTTTTCTACAAAGCAATGTATTACGAATAATCAAATTCAGATAAAAAAAAAAAAAAAAGGCAAAGAATTAACTCCAGAACCCATCCTCCTGCCAATACTGCAGCTCTCGTATTCCTATGGAGAGCACAAACCCTAATTCCTTGCTCTTAAACCCTTCTCGCTATTTATAGAGTTCAGGGTCTCTTGGTTGGGCTGGATGTGCCAATTCCATTTACCGTAAAAGAAATTGGGCCTGAATGATCAATTAACATAATGTTTATTCTGACCGAAGTGCACAAATAACCGATTTTGGGACCGTTGCTTAAGTTGTAGCCAATGTTTATATTTTTGGGAACTTTACGTAACTGTCACAATTTAAAAGAAATATAACAAATTCGTAGCATAAAATCTAATATTATAGTTGTGGCAGAAAAATATTTATATTTGTAGCACATAGTTCCATTAAAATGGGAATATTAATTATTAATCTCTAAACATAAGCAATTTGAATGGAAAATCAATAATTCTTTGTACAAAAATCATGCCTTTTTTTCTCTTTATCTATTAGCTTTCCTTCTTTTTCTACATCTTCTTAATTTTATTTTCTGCCGAACCCAATATATTTTCTAAATTTATTTCATTCGTTTTCTTTTTTATTATCTTTCTTAAGTTTTTCTCTTGACAAAGTGAGTTGCTTTGATGGTTAGCGCCCTTCAATTCCAACCAAGAGGTTGTGAGTTCGAGTCACCCCAAGAGCAAGGTGGGAGTTCTTGGACGGAAGGATGCCGAGGGTCTATTGGAAACAACCTCTCTACCCTAGGGGAGGGATAAGGTCTGCGTACACACTACCCTCCCCAGACCCCACTAGTGGGATTATACTGTGTTGTTGTTGTTGTTGTTGTTGTTGTTCTTAAGTTTTTCTCTTCCTTCTTTCTTCCTTTCTTAACATAGAGATCTTACTTCGATAATAATATACGTTAATATATATAAAACGTATATAAAAAAAATATATATTGAATTAACACATATAAAATATACAAAAAATATACATAAAAAATACATCTTCAATTAAGATGACACTTAGACATGTGAAATATACATAAAAAATATATCTTAAATTTAATTAAGATGGCATATAAATATACAAAAAATATATATATAAAAAAATATATCCTGAATTAAAATGACACTTGACATATAAAATATATTTGAAATATACATCAAAATACATCTTAAAATAAGATTGCACTTCACAAATAAATATACAAAAATTATATACATAAAAATACATTTTGAATTAAAGTGATACTTGATATACAAAGTATAAAAGAAGTATAAATCAAAATATCTTGAATTTAGGTGGCATTCACATATGCATCAGAGTTTAAAAAATGGAGTGAAGAAGATGAATGTTGGGCTTAATTTTTATAATATGCTAATAATAAAAAAAATGCTCTTTATGGAATAAACAATAAATGATGCTATTTTTTTAAATAATAGTTAAAAAAAGACCAAGTGTGTAAAAAAACTCTATATTGTTGTTTTGCAAGTTTACCTGACTTCGAAATATAATTTTAGATATACAAGATTTGTAAAAATCAATGTCTGAAATTATAAATTTTATCAGAAATTTGTAGGTCACATACATGACTTAACTTCACACATGGCTGAAGTTCAAACATTTTTTGCATGCACTTCAGGCATATATGGTAAAGTACAGCGATTATTGCCATTTTTGCACGCACTACATTCAGTCGTACCATTTTTGTATGTACTAAAGTTCACCCATTTTTTACATGGTGTCAGTTCAGGCATTTATGTCCAAAAGTCTAATTTTTTTTATTAAAATATACAAACTTATTATTCGAATTTCAATAATGAAACGTACTATTCAACGACCAAATCTACTTTAAACGAGTTCAAATTTATAACATAAGTTTCAAAATGTTATAAAGAACAAACTCCAAAATAAATTTGTCAAAATAATAATAAATATAACAAACCCAAAAGTATCAAAATAATAATAAATCTAACAAACTCAAAAGAGTAGCGTTTTTGTCTTAAGTTCACCAATAATTAAAAAAATAACTTAAAAATGGCAAAGCCCAAATAAAGCACGCGGTGAAACTTCTACATTTTTCCCCCATGTCTGTTGATTCATTTGATGGATTGGATTCATCCAAGTTCAAACAAGATATTAAGAAGACAAGGAATTCAATCCATCCGTTATTTATTTTGCCAAATGATGTGTTCAATAAAGTTATTTATTTGCCATGTAATGTGTTAAATGAAGTTCACCAATTAATTAAGCGCTCACCTTTGATAGTTCTTAAAAGGTGCACATCATTCGCATGTTATCACAGGTTCAAGTTAGTATCAATTTGTCAACATTATATAAGTGAAGTGTAGATAAGAAATACTAATTTCAGGGGAAAAAGCAATCTTAATAGGACAAGGTGTTGTTTATAACATATCGAAAGGCAATTTGGTTATATGTTGTATACCAAACATTTTTAAAGAGTTCCTTTTTTCTTTTCTTACCTTTATCTAAGGGGTTGTTTGGTACAATAGTGAGATATCCCATGAGATTAGTTATCCCATCTTTTATATGAGATAATTAAATTCCTTCATTTTAGTGTAAAAGTTATTTCGATATTAGCTAATGCCCCAAACCAAACATGGGAGAAAGTTAATCACAAACCTTATCCCGGGATTCTTATCCCATGTACCAAACGGCCCCTTAAGGTCGGTATCATTAAGTTCATTTAGGCTGGGCCTTTTTCTTGCCATTTTCTCCACCAACCACTTTACTAATTCGGAAATGCCCAAAGAGGAAATCAAGAAGTGAAACAGCATTAGTGATACTGATAGCAATAGTCATAATCTTATAATGGGACAGAACAAAGTGGCAATATAATTGGCAACAAACTGGACAGAACAAAGTGGCAATACGTTGATCTCCTAGTTGCCACTAGCTACTCAGGGTAAGCATCAACTTGTTGTATATATTGTGATTTTTCTTTTTTCTTTAAAGTAGAACATAAAAGGG